GGATTGGGGGAACTGGTGATAAACTTCTGTTTGCTGCTTAAAGTTTTTTAAATGAAGCGGTGGCCAGCTCTAAAATCTGGATGCCTGTGCTCAAGAGCTCCCGTTCCTGCACCTCCTCTAATGGTTCACAGATACCAAGTCCAGATACCAGAAGACACCAGAGGAGAGTGGTATGATCACTCCGACTGGAAACCCAGCCCAGCGATGCCTCCATCGAGCCCTTAAATTGTTGGAGCTGGAGCAGCCATTTCCCAAAGGCACAGCCTCGAGCCTTTGGTGTAGTGGAGGAGACGTGGTGTGCTCCGGGGAGGCACTCGGTGCCCATCACCCTGCCTCTGGGCTCAGGAGTACATGGCAACTGCTGAGCCCTCGCTGAATGCTGCCTTCCAAACTCCTTGTGCTTCTCTGCAGCATTTCCTCTCTTGTTTCACCGGTGTGTCTTTGTTTCCAGCAAATTTGTTCTCATCCGTGCCCTTTCCTTCTGCCCCAGCCCAGCCCCACGGCACGCAGGTGCGGTGTTGCCTCTGTGCAGGATCCAGATGCATGGAAAACTCGATGTTGAAACAACAACCTCTTGTCTCGGGCATGGGCCCCCACCGTCCTCCTTTCTCCATCATCTGCCAAATCAAGTTTGTCTGATTATCAGCATTAATCCCCTCTTTTCCTGCTCATACCTCTCCTGCAATCTTGCTTCTTTTTCAAGGCTACACCATTTGCTTCCATTGAAGCATCCAGCTGTGGCTCATCCCTTCTGCAGTCATCTTGGGTGTGACTCAAGTTTCCTACATTCCTTACTCTTGCTCCTCTTCCTTCTCCACTCGGATTGTTATTGCTTTCCCTTCCCTTCCCTTATACTCCTCCATGCTGTTCTCCTTGACTTGGTAAAGCTCCAGTTGGTAAACAGCCCAGTTTTCCATCTCTCTGCCTCCATCTTCACCTCTCAGCCCTAATGAATGATTTTTTTTCTTCCCTTCTCCTAATGCTCTTTTCTTCAGTTCAGCTGTATGGGACTCATCAGATCCAATTAGTGTTCTAATTCAGCAATCTGGTGATTTGAGGGCTGAAGGATAAGCTGCTTTGGAACCAGTCCCTCCTTCTAAGTTGACTTGCTAGGTCACTTGGAGCAGCCAGCTCCAACTGCAGTGGACAGGGTTGCCCCAATGCTACTGAATCCTGGGAAAGTTGAATCCCTTAAATCAGCGGAGATCTCGCCAACGCAGTTAATGAAGTCTAGAGAGCTGCTCAGCGACGTTTAGGTGGCATCATCTACCAACCGATGTCCACCTTGCTTGCTGGACTCTTCATATTCCTTTATTTTATAAAAATTCCCTCTCAAAATTAAGTGAAATAACTTCTTGAACTGCTGAGGCGTTTACTGCTCTAGAACTAGTTTAAGAGGTGTAGGGTTAGACCTTTATCAAATAGCTTGGTTGTTGCCAACTTCAGGCATTCAAAAGCCATCCTTCAGGCTTCAAAAATCTTAATAGTCATAAAGGAAAAATAAATAAAAAAAAAAAAGCAGGTATTTTTTTTCCAAACTTCCTGTCCTTTTAAAATTCATGTCTTGGTGGACATGAGGTCAGAACTTTTTGAGACAAGAAGGAAAAGGAAACAGAGATCTTGGTTTATTATTACACGGTCACTCTGTGACAGTGTCTGATGGTGCGGCTTCAAGTACGGCAACACCGCAAACTCTGTCCTTCTGCTGAGATAATGTTGTTGATGCTGGAAACAAAACCGGTAGCAGAATAAATAGCAGGAATTCTCGGCACTTGAAGAAGAGGGAGGAAGGGCAGAATGCTGCCCGAGGCGTAGTAGAGCCCTGAGTAGGGTTGCTCTCCTGTTGACAGAGTTCAGCCCCTCAGCCCCGGTTTCGTGTTGCGGGATGTTAGCAGCAGTCGTGGTGTAATGTATCCCCCCATGTCCAGCTTCCCCCGGCTTGTCGGGATGCTCTGTCAGCCAGGCTGAGGAAGTGCTCTGGAGAAAGAAACCTGAAAAAAATAGGCGATTTGAAAAAGTTGGATTTGTCCCCTAATCTGGGTCACAGTGCAGGAATATTCCAAACCAGCACTGCGCTGAAACCGGTGCTGTGAATCCATGGCCAGAGCTCCCAGCTGCAAGGAGGAGCACTTGTCTTGCCTGAGTTGAGGCATCACCAGCGTAGATATCTTCATCTGAGCTCCTGGGCTCCTTTGATAGTCAGCAGGGATGAGTGGGCACTGCTGGGGACATTTCCCGTGAGCACCCAGAAATGTCTGTCTTGAGAGGAGAATAAAAACCCTTAAAAAGGCTCATTTCTCTGCGCTGGGCTGCAAAGGGAGCCCATAGGACAAGAGGAAGAAGCCTCAGGTTGCGCCAGGTGAGGTTTAGACTGAAAATTAGGAAAAATTTCTCCACGGAATGGGTTATCAAGCGCTGGAACAGGCTGCCCAGGGAAGCGGTTGAGTCATCATCCCTGCAGGTATTTAAAAGACGTGTAGATGTGGCGCTTAGGGATGTGGTTTAGTGGTGGACTTGGCGGTGTTCGGTTAACGGTTGGACTCGATGAGCTTAAAGGTCTTTTCTAACCTAAACGATTCTATGATTCTACCACGATTGGTGTGATGAAGCCCACCTGACTCTCTTACGTGTTTGTACAGCACCAGCGTTGTAGATCCCAGATCTGTGATTCAGGCTGTAGGCAGGGCGATGATAATAGCAATGCTCCTGCGGTTGTTTTCTTAGTGATGAATTTGCCTCGATAGTCGATGTTCTTTGGCCAGCCCCTAGGAATTCAACTCATTAAGCTCTCCTTGTTGATGGCCCTTTTGCTCAGGGTGGTCTGAGATTGAGGAGTACCTGCTTCTTGTTGGACGCTCTCCTTGACCTGTTTACCCTCATCCCACTTCGTGACCTGCGGGAAAGAGTTCACAGATTGGCTAAAGCAATTTCAAAACTGTAAAAAACAAACCCTCATTAGTTTCCTAAATCTAGTCCTCGTGTTGGGAATTTGGGAGATTGGATTTAAATCTATAGCAACATTTAATTTGATATTCACAGCGGGGTGGTTGCTGTAAGTGGAGGAGCGAGTTCATCTGCAGCATCAAATTGAATCTGAAAGTAAAATGCTTTTATTACCACTAGCCTCACAGCGGTGTCTCTCCCAGACTCATCTTTTCTGTTTCAAAAGCTGCTGCTCTTCCACTTCACAGTCAAATCCTTCCATCAAACCTACAAGCAGAGGCTGCAAACCCAACAAAATTTGTCATCTACACAGATGAACTTTATCCAGGCTATAAATAACTGAATCCATGGGGCAGTACCAGCAAAGCCAGCCTTAAGACTCTTACTTTTACTCTTAAATCCACACGTTTTAGACTGCTTTACAGTTTCTGGAAGCATTCAGATTTTGCAAATACGCATCCCAGCACTTGGAAAATGTTTAAAAAAAAAAAAAATCATTCAGTCATTTTTGAGGGGGAAGAAGATTAAGACAAAACCTTCATTCTTGCCCAGACTAAGAAGAACCACCGTGGTTCTCTTGGGCTCAGTGCTAGAGTCACGGTGGCTGAGGAGAGGAGGAAAGGTTCCTGCTTGGGGTCTTGGTGAAAGCCTCATGGGGCTCTGGAAACGCTCCCTGGGTTTTGCAAACCAGTGCTCTACTTATGCAGGGCTTACCCAGCAGTTGTGCTTCTCAACATCTTCCTCTCAGCCTCCAAAAAGACGAGATGCACTGCGGATGCATGTATAATGTAGCAGCTTGCAAAATATGTTCTCCCATGCTTTTCTTTTCTTTTCTTTTTTTTTTTTTTAAAAAGCCCCCAAATCACTATTTGCTGGCAGGTTTTTGGCTTTGGCTGTTTTTTTTTTTTTTTTTTAATTTTGCTGCATTTTTGGCTGAAAACTTTTTGGCCAAGCATTGCTAAAGACTTCCATTTTCGGCCTAAAATTCCCGGTTTGGGGCTGTTGGGTTTTGTTTGCGCATTTGGGTTTTTTTGGATGAAAAAGAGAAATATTGTAGGGGAGAGTAATTTGAAGACAGAAGTAATTCCCTGCAAATAGGTTTGTTTAATTAATAACCCCAGTTCTGCTTGAAACAAATTTTGATGGAAATTCTCCGACTATCACTACTATCCAACCATGCTGAGGCTGACGAGGCAGCAGCTCTCCTCTGTGCTGTTTATATTAACATACGCAATGACTTAGATCCCTGCAAAACTGTGGAGAGCTCTGCATTATTCAAGTGTTGGAGGAGGCAACAAAAAAAATGATCCATGGTTATAATAAACTGCCTGCTATTTCTTGTTTCTATTAATAGCTCCTTTATGGCCCAAATGTTTGCGATGGAGTGGGGTGGTGTAGTTTGCACAGACCCTGGCAAGAGGAATGAATTGTGTTGAGCCAGCCACCACCACTGATACTTGGCTTTTTCCTAGCCGGGTGATGACTCCCAGCCCTAATGATTTTGTACAGGATGGGGAACATGCCAGTGAGCTGGGTAAAAATGCAGCTAGGGGCATTTCCAGAAGGACCAAATGGCCTTGCGGTGGTTTCTAGCCTGTCTTTTGGCTGGAAAGGGTTGAAATCCAATGGTTGCGTTCAGCCCAACGGTTGGGTTCAACCCTTCCTTTAAACGCAACGGTTGGGTTCAGTCCAACGGTTGGGTTCAACCCTTCATTTAAACCCAATGGTTGGGTTCAACCCTTCCTTTAAACCCAATGGTTGGGTTCAACCCTTCCTTTAAACCCAACGGTTTGGTTCAGCCCTTCCTTTAAACCCAGTGGTTGGATTCAGCCCTTCATTGAATAAAGGGTTGAACCCAGCACAGCTGAACCCTGCAGTGTAGCGGAGGGGGTTAGTTATCAAATGCTTCTGCATGGGAAGAGTCCCCAGTCTGTCCCCCTGAAGAGCTCTGCTGCTGTCTGCAATCTGTGGCATCTGCCCTACTTCTTGTAGCTAAATGTTTCTGCTTTTCTGTTTTTTGTTTTGTTGGTTTTTTTTTTTTTTTTCTCTATTCAAAGGTGGGCCTTAATGTTCTGGTTCAGAGAGCAAACAAGTTTACCCCCGCCACTCGTCTCTTGATCCAGAGGTTTGTGCCATTCCCTGCTGTCGGTAAGAAATAATGCCTTTTCTCTATATTCCAAGTGTTGGCTGTAAACCTACCAGTGGCTAAAAGCCACAGGGATGGACGCCTAACTCCTGCCTTCCTGCTTTACGCCGTCACTGCCGTGTCCCCTCAGTGTGGGCCCCTGAGTCAGTGCAGACAGCGACAGGATGGTGCAAAGCAGCATTTCAGCAGGCAAATGATGCAAAGCTGCTGGCGGAGGCAGCTCACGAGGCTTTATCAAGCTGCTCTTTCTACTCTTAAGCAGTTTTAAAAAGATTGGCGTTGACTGGTCCTCGACCGTCCAAATTTGAGAGCATTTAATTTGCAAGATCTGGTTTGAATCATGTCAAACCAAGTCTTCAAGGAAGCAGTAGCATTAGGGGTTTTTTTTACAATAAAAATGCAATGAAGTGCTCCTACTCTGAATATACAGATTTCTAGGAGCCACTGATTAAAAAAAGACCAAAGGGTGTGAAGAATTAAGGCTGCTGCTGGCTTGTTGGAGCACAAAATAAACCCTTCTGCAGTTTATCAGCTAACTGCTCGGTGTTTGAGGGAAGGGACGCGCTGGACTCAGCCTTTGCTGAAGCCCATGGTTACAACGTTCAGCAAATGATGAGTTATTTTAGCTGTGAAGAAATTGCCAGTGGCGTAAGGGTAATTTTTAATATAAGCTTGTTTATTTATAAAGGCCCCAGGTTGTTGGGGCTTTTTTAATTTTTTTCTGCCAGAAAAACAGTTGCTTGCCTTGTCTGCAGAGCAGGGGGTAACAGGGATTGTAGTCTGTAGGTTGCACTCAGTCTTTTTGGTTTTTTTTAGTGCTTTGCTTCTATATAGGGAATCTGTGGATGTTATTGTTTTCCTGGAACTTTCCTGGAATATATTTTTAGAGGGTTTCAGCTTTCTTTTGATTTTTATAACCAGGAGGGCACCAGAGGTGAACGCAAGACCTGGAAGGCAGCTCCAAGGCTGGGTTTGAGTCAGAGATGCACATGGGAAGTCTTTGCTGCCAGGTTGATCTATTTTCATACCAAGGTGTAAGGAGAAAGAGGTTACGCTTGTTTCAGACTTGATTGAGGACCCATAATTAAATTGTTTAGCCCATAATTAATTCTCTAGTTCTTATTTTATTTGTGTACTGTCATGCTTCGTTATGTGCCAGGACATCAGGAATCCTCCCACTAATTGCTGTTTTGTGGTTTTGAAAGCTGCAAGTTATTGGTTTGCAAACCTGGACAAACTGTTTAATTAAGAAGCATCTTCCCATTGCTTTTGAACCACCAGCTCCCAGCGAAAGGGCAGAATTTCACCTTTTCTATATGAAAAGCCAGACGCTGGTGTAAAGCTCTTGCTCCATTACTATTAAGCAGTTTTCCCCTGGCCCTTCTTTGCCTCCCTCTCTCACCGACCTTGGCTGAGCTGCGCCGGTCGATAGCAGCTGGAAAACTGGAGGTATGCATCAAAGCTTTATGGTGTCTCATCCCAAGGGATCATGAGAGTGGAGACTTGGGGAAGTGCAGATACTGCTCAGGTGAAAGACAGCCAGAGTCCCAGCTTTTTTTTTTGGACTAAAGAGTCTTGTGAAGCCTTGGGAAGCTGGGGTAGGCACTGGGAAAACTGGTCTACAGGTCTTAACGGCCCTCAGAGATGCTCCACATGTTGTGTCTGTCTTCTCTGGGTCAGGTAACAGTTGTCTTTGCCCGACAAACTACACCATATCCGCAGAAGTGCTGCCTATAGGGCATTTTTAACATAAGTGGTTCCTCCTTGAAAGCCACTTTCACCATGGGACCCCAAGATGAGCGCAGGGCATGGGGATGGATCTGCAGGGGACTCCAGACCTCACTGGTGATAAGGCAGACTGTGGCCAGTCATGAATGTACCCAGGTAGCTGGTGCAGGCTCCAATTGCTCTGATCCCCACGTTGCGGCCAGTGGCACTGGAGCAGGCTGCCGGGAGGTTGGACTGCACGCTTACCCTCTGCCAAAGGTGATTGATAGTAGCTGAAAATCACAGGCTGTCCAAAAAATCCTCCCCAGCCCCAGGGCAAAGCATCCAGCAAACCATCCTGGGTGGAAGAACTCATGGAAATGGCCAAGGCTCTGCATACCCAGTGTCTGGCTTGATGCAAGAGAAGTTCGTGCTTGCTGTTGGCCACCCTGGAGCAACGTCTGGGTGGTGAAGTTGTTCTCCATGAAGGTTTTCAATGCAGGAGAAGGGAAGGAGTGTGTCCGTGCTGTGTTCTGGAGAGCTGCGATTCCCGAGTTTGAACAAGAATGGGCTTGACCCTTTCTTGGAGATGTAGGTGGTGAAGGACATCAATGCCCAGGGTTATTGTGAAGAACCCAGTTTACCCACTTCTTCCCAAGCACTGGTTGCGAATAGCTGTCACGAAGGTAAGGGCTGTCACTGGTGATGGTGCGCTTTACCTTGGAGATGTATGTGGCTAAAAAAAACCCCACAGAAACCTCCAAAAAACCCCCCAGAGGTGGCATCCCAAACCTGACCTGAAGGAATTTAAAGCTGGTAGAAAGATACCCGTTGAAGAGAAGGGAGGTGAGGAGGAGGAAGGTTTTCTTCTCCTTGGGCTTTTTTTTTTTTTGTGGGTGGGGTTAAAATTGTTAAATGTGTTTAGGTGGTGCACAAGGGTGTATTCAGCATGCGGAGAGCATGCTGGTTTAGAAAGGATATTTATACACATATAGAAGTAGGGTGGTGGGTTGCTTTTGTGTCTGAACCCACTTTCTAATATGTCACTAAGTGTTTTCACAGAAGTAGTTTCCAGGCTACATTATCATGGGTTTTTTTTTCCAAATTCTGAAAAGCAAATTGTCTACATATATATTTATTTATTTCTCATTCCCCCCTGTGTTTGAGACTTCCATAAAATCCAAGTTTACCCATAATTAGCAGCTTTTTCTGCTTTCTCAGTGTTTTACTGCAAGAGAACGGAAGCAACTACGACAGTTGCTTGTCTCAGACAAACAGGCTGGAATCAGGTTTTGAATTTGGGACCCGGACAATGAAACCCTAATAGGATCCAGAGACTTGGAGAAGCATCTGTCTGTGGTGGGAGCTTCAGGTCTGGACACGCCATCGTGAGTCTCGCAAGAGCCTTGTGCCTGTGCATCCTGGCTTGGCCAGAGCATCTCTGCTGGCGTGTTTTCATATGTTCAGTCTTGACTGAAAGCTAGAAGGACGGGGCATGTGAGTGTTAAAAAAAAAAAAAAGAAGAGGGCCTAAACTTGCTTTAAATGAAATGCCTGTTTTCTTTTTTAACTTGGATTAGGGAGCTGAAGGGTTGGTAACACAGATATTTTGATAGATGGGAAGAGTGGTCCGGTAGTTTGAATATTAAAGAGAGAGACAGAGTGTGCGTGTGTGTATGTTCCTCTTATTCTCGAGTGTAAGGAGCATTTGTCACCACAAATCATCCTTGATTGCAGAGAGCTGCATTCGTATAGGGCTCACCCACCCACCACCCTCAAAAAATTAGACATTTGTTATATGACATGAATTGAGATTAATTAGCGAATATTAACCCATCAAGCAGTTCAGAAACACATTTTTGGAAGCAGTGATACTTGCAGCAACAGTAGGTTTGTGTTAGTTCTGGTTGGAAAGTTTGCAACAAAATGTGGTGGTGGTGGTGGGATTTGCTGGAAAATGCCAGTTTATCAAAACCAAAACTTTTATAGGAATTAGCAGCTTTTCTTTGGAAAAATTTAAGAAGTGCCTGGGCCCTGGAGAGGAGCTGCATCTTGGAAGGATGTTCCTCAACCCCAACTGTGACACGTGACTCGAGGAGCGGAATTTGGGGTCACCTTGAAAAGGCTACAAAAGCCACAGGCTGGGCAAGGGTGGGGGTGGTCAGAAAGCATCCCAGAGCTGCATCTGCCTCTGCTGCAAATGCAGGGCTGATATTTGGGACACGTGAATGCTGGGAACCAGAGTCCTCCAAAGCACTGCTGGTTTGTGTCGCAGGTCAGAAAAATATTGTTTAAGCAAACAAGCAGGTGTCTAATAGAAAATAAGTCCACAGAGCCATTTTTCCACTAAAACATGTGAAATACGGGCAAATAGTGAACAGGACCCCTATTAATGGGATACGTGTCCATGGAAACAACACAACCTTGTCTTACTTGATTAAAAATAATAATTCTGTCCTCTTTAAGAGCTCAGATCTAAGCTGTCCTTCATAGCTCAGTGAAATCCCTTGCAGTATATTTCCACCATACCTGCTAAAATCCATTAAGAAGAGTTTGTCTGCTGGCTTAGTAAGGGGGGGTTAAAACCAGCTCTGGGATGTACCGTCGGAAGAGGCAGCTGTCAATCAGCCGTGCCTGGTTGGCCAAGACCAACTGGTAGCCCAGTGCAAGGACATGTTTGACTTAGTAGATCAAAATGTCAGGTGAAGAATCACTGTGGGAGCTGGGAGCAGGTCCGAACACCAACATCTGGAAATACTGGTGTTTCTTTGCCTCAATGCGTTTCTGATTGTGGCAGCAGATCCTTTTGCAAGTAAAAGAAAATTATCTTGATTATTATTCTCCTCTTAAGAATCACATCTCTGTCTCGGTATAAGAGTGGCTCCTTGACTTGCAGAAACTTCTTGGCAGATTGATACAAGCGAAGCTGAAGGGCTGTCACGGCAAACAGAAGCCTGCCATTTGGTATTGACCAGGGCTGCGTTGCTAATCATCATGCTTTTCTCATCCTCAGCTAGTGCCAATATCTGCAATGTTGTCCTGATGAGGCACACAGAGCTGGAAGAAGGAATTGATGTTTTGGACAATAACGGAAACATTGTCGGGTCTTCCAGAATTGCTGCAAAACACGTATGTACCTGTGATGTTCCTGGCGAACGCTCGGGTGAGGTTGAACACAACTGGCCTTCGGGCTCAGCGAATCCCATGGCCGTAGGAATTGATGACTTGAAAGAGCTAGAAATAGATGAGCTTTACCCATCATGCAGGAAGAACGAAGCGGCAAAATTTAATGCCTGCTTTGTACCCACGCGTGCGGTTGCGTAGCCACAAAACCGAGTGGGCTGGCGGACGCGGGCTCGTGTCACGCAGGCAGGTTCGGTGGCTGACCTTGCTGGTTTGGAAGGGCGCAGACTGACATCAGGAAGATCCTGTGCTACTCTGATCCATTCACAGCCTTAGGATTTCTTTGTGGGAACTTGTAAGCAGTTCATGTTGAATACGAAGCAAAGATAACTTACACCTTTTTCTAAATGAGGAAGACTTCATTTTTGAGCTGAGGAGCTTTTTAACCCTTGCCATGTCAAAGCTGCATTAACAATTGCCAGCCAAAGCTTTGTCAGGGTAGCCAGATGTCTTTATCCTCGTCCTAACACCTGGTTTGTTTCCCCCCCATAACCTTCTATTCTCTGCCATCTGCCTGCAATTACTCCCTTTCCTTCCCTTCTTACATAGTTTTGTCTTCTGAGCATCATCTGATTGTCTGAGGCACGTTGTTTCCAAGTGGGCTTTAATCTGAAATGTAAAGCATGTACCGAAGCACACGCCCAGGCAGAGGAGTTAATAATAATGCTTGGCATTTCTCTCGCTCCTTCTGTCCAAGGCTCTTAAGGCACTTCATAGACAGCAATTAATGTACAGATTTACAGTCCTCGGCAAGAAATGGGAGATCTCTAATACATCTCCATATTGTTGTTTAACAGGGAGCTTAAAACAATCTGTTGAAGGGCTCGGAGATACTTATTTGAGCCAGTTTTCCTCACTTACATTAACTGGCTTCAGGACCCAGCTTCCTCTCTCCATCCTAATGGTCGAGGGAAACGTAGAAAATAAATATGAAAAGTGAAGGTACTGTAAATGTGATTTAGATGGAGTTTAAACATTCAATTTGGGACTTCTGAGAACTTCTGCTCAGCTGCCATCTAATCCTGATGCTTCTTCCTGAATAGCTTAGTATGGGGTTTTGTCATGCGAAATTTGGCAGATCCTTAGTGTAACACATCTGCACCACTCTGAGGCCTTCTCCTGTTTGGAAGGAATGAGTACTCCCAGACCTGTCTGTATGCATAAGTTTCAGTATTTCCATCCAAAATCTATAAGTATCCTCTGCCTAGGTGTGCCAAAGCCCCACAAGTGGTCGCAGTTGCTTGGAGCATCCCAGGTAGGTGCTGGCAAAAGTGCTTGGAAGAGGTAAATGAAGACACAGTGGTGCTTAAACACCTTGCTAGAGCGCCCATGATCTTCTCTAGGCCTCATCTCAGGGTAATTTATGTGTATCATGCCGCCAAGCTGTTCTGTTTGCTGCTTCCTGGTGAATCTTGCCAGGGAGAAAGCACCAGTGGAGGGACAACCGTAGCTCCGCAGTTGGGTGTCTTCCTGGGAGAGGAGAGCCCTGTGTGTTATGATGCTTCGCAATAAACCACCAGTGATTAAAAACCAAAAGCAAGTCTTGGAGCAGGAAGTAAGGTACTGCGTTCCCCCAGCACATCACTGAAATTGATATTCAGTTAAGGGAGGAAGGGTTGAAGCTGCTGCTCAACCCACACTGAGATATTTCACCTTACAGCATCCTCCAGGCAGCTGTTTTGCCTCTTTTTCTTCCCCCAGACAGCACTAACATGCTTGTGTAGGAATATGACAAGATGTTTGAGTGCTTTTGGTCACGTAAGTAGATAACTTGGTCTCCCAAGTAGATAACGATAGGACAAGAGGAAATGGGCTCAAGCTGCGCCAGGGGAGGTTTAGATTGGATATTAGGAAAAATTTCTTCATGGAAAGGGTAGTCAAGCGTTGCACCAGGCTGCCCAGAGAGGTGGGGGAGTCCCCATCCCTGGAGGGGTTCAAAAAATGGGCAGACGTGGCACTTTGGGACATGGTTTAGTGGGCATGGGGGTGTTGGGTTGATGGTTGGACTGATGATCTTAGAGATCTTTCCAACCTTAATGATTCCTAGTTTTTACTTTCATTATAAATAATCCAGCCACCAAGCCAGGAAACATGAAATTGCTACTCTACCCTTAACTGGTTTAGCGGTGGAGTTGGTAGTGTGAGGTTAATGGTTGGACTGGATGATCTTAAAGGTCTTTTCCAACCTAAACGATTTGATGATTCTATAAAGTGAAATCAGGGAGCTATTAGGCGTCTCTGTGTATTCCGCTGGATATGTGACCAAGCACGGGCTCCAGCCCGTTGTTTGTAGCAACGGAGCAAGAATAGGTTGTATACAAACAGCTGATAGCAAAGTTGAAAGTGTGTGTTGATACGTTCATTCACATTTGCAACAGAAGAAAGGCCAGCCAAACCATTTCTGTGCCCACGCCTTGATTGCTCGGCGCAGGTACTTCCTGAGATTTGTTTTAAGTGTCTTGGGTTTTGTTTGTTTGTTTTTCCTTTTCAGGCACTGCTAGAAACAGCCCTGACTAGAGTGGTCCTGCCAATGCCTATACTGGTTCTACCTCCAATTATTATGTCCATACTGGAAAAGTAAGTGTGGGGTAATACGAAGGGGGGGGGGCTTTTCAAGGGGAAGGGAGAAAAGATGCTCAGGAGGTGTTATTCATTGCTATTTCTTACTGTCGGTCCATCAAAGACTTTTTTTGCTTATTAAAATTTTCATGTTGCAGCATTTTTGACCATTGTTGTAGGCTGTTCAAGTGTTACATTGATGTGGTTATTTTAAATCATCTTTCTGAGACCCCAGCAGTTTCAATAACCTTATTCTGTAGGGTCAGGGTGAGCCAAAACTCTCTGAATTCAGTGGAAAAGCGTCCGTAAGTTTTCAGTCCTCCATTTAGCAAACATTAAGAGCTGCCACATAGGGTCAGACTGAAGGTCTCTGCTTTTATTCGGCCAGCAATAGGGAATGTAGGGATTTGCTGACCACACGGCACATCCAGACCACCTTGGCCTTGCTTTTGCCCTCTTTGAACTCACTTGTACTTTCTTTCAATAATGTTCTGTGGCTTGGACTTCCCCAGAAGAATATATGCTTTGCATATTCTGCAGAAATTTGCTTTCCATCACTGTTTAAGCCAGAATCTCTCCTGGCAGATACGTCCATGGAGCATCAGTGCTAGGAGAGTGAGCAGGAAAGGGCAGGGTTATTATTTTGGGTCTAATTATCTCCTGTCAAAGCTCTTAATAGCAAAAAAAAAACCCCAAACTGCCCCATCCATTGGCCATTCTCCCACCTTGCTTTCCAGCACCTCCGCTTTTTCTTCTGCCTAGAGATGCTGTGAGCCTCTTTGGAGCTGTTGGGTGCCTGTGGCTCCTTAGGACACCCATGAGCGGCTCATTCGGTGTGAATGAGCCCTGGGGTTCACCTTGCCAACCTCTGGAGACTGATTAGTGCATTGAAAGATGGAGGTGCTAAAGGGCTTGCTACCTTTGTCTGGACAGCCAGGCTGGAAGCACTCTTTAAACAAATCTGTTGATAACGGCTGCTCTAAAGCACTCCACTGACAAAGTAAATAGCAATTAGTACGATTAGGGATTGACCCATAGCTTTGGTTAGCCTTGTTTACCCTTGTAGAAACACCCCTGGGCAATTTTCTCTCCTTAACGGAAGGGTCGCAGCTGCTTCTGTAAATTTGGAGTCTGATTTTTACCATCTAAATTTAAGAATATAGATATAGTCTGGTACGCCTCTAGCACCTAGAGGCTCTCACCAAGACCGATTCCTCCCATGGCCTGGGTGTGGGGAGAAACAGGGCAACAAACTCTGTTTTGGGGACTGTAAAGTAAGTTCTTTCAGCCCTTTTTGGCCAAAATATACTGTTTTCCTCTCTTTTTCAAAGGGACCGTGGTGGTTCCCTGCGGCAGGGCATAGTCTTGGTAACACTTTCTGCAAGCCACTGTTTGGAGACAGCTGCTGGAGACACACAAGGACAAGGGGTAGATTCCAGTCCCCCTAATTCTGTGCAAAGCATTTGGTTTTCACTTCATGCTCCTCCTTGACAAAAGCTCTGCAGCCTCTTTCCTGCTTCAAGACCCTGTGTCACCCACGCAGTCCCCCAGCCCATGATCTACCTGCAGGAGAGGTGCTCAGGGGTGACCATGTCTTACTCTGGAGTACCTTACTCTGGAGTACCTTACTCTGGGCTTGCTCAAAATTGTGTGTAAGAGGAACAGGGATTGTCACTTATCTTTGTACCCCAGCATCTTGGCAGCTTCCCTGCTTCAAATTCAGATGCGTGATTCTAGCCTTTATAATCCCATCAAAGCTGCTGTGCTGTTGTCAGTCGAGAGGACTTCTGTTTTCATCTGTCCACATGCCAGACACTTCAGAAATGCCACCGATATGTGATGTTCTTACCACAGAGCTCTTTCTTTTCGCCTTTCTGTCGCGCTGAGGCTTTGCACCGACGTGGCTGCGTGCGTTACCGCTGGCTTAACACGGGCACTGGTTCCAGTCTAACCATACCTTGGCAATTAGCTCGTCCAGGAAGGATCACCCCAGAGGACAAACTATTTTATCCGTAGAATTCAGAGGATCTTTGCTATTCTGGTTATTGACATTGTCGTGGTGTAACCCTGGCCGGCAGCGTACCTGCTCTGTCATGGGCTTATCCATGGCCGCACGCTTTGAGGTGCTCCAGCATGGCCTCATGTGCAGCCACAGATGCTCTGAGGTGTACCTGCTCCAGCGTGGACTTATCCTTGGGCCACAGTCCTTTCAGAGGTACACTCGCTGCGGCACAGACATAAGCATGGCTGCAGATGCTTCGAGATGGACCTGCGTGGACTCATCCACAGGTCGCAGTCCCTTCGACTGGAGGTCACACCGGAGTTCCAGCCTATGGCCATTGCTGTTATCAGAATGTTCCCCGGCTCAGCAGAGTGAGACGATCAGCACTACAGCAAGCAGCGAAAGCAAAAAGCAGCCACTAACGAGCACTGGACTCGAATATACGGTCAGGCAAGCAAGCCCCGTGGCAAGCCCAGGAGCCTGCCGATTAATAGCTAAACAGCAATAGCAGCTATAAATTCGATCTAGCGCATTCCAGTCAAATCTGTTGTTATCTCAAACCCTTCAAGACCCACACTGGGTGCCAAAAAGGACTGTCGTGGTTTAACCCCAGCCGGCAACTGAGCACCACACAGCCGCTCGCCCGCTCCCCCCCGGTGGGATGGGGGAGAGAATCAGAGGGTAAAAGTGAGAAAACTCGTGGGTTGAGATAAAGACAGTTTAATAGGTAAAGCAAAAGCCGCACACACAAGCAAAGCAAATCAAGGAATTCCAGTGCTTCCCATGGGCAGGCAGGTGCTCAGCCATCTCCAGGAAAGCAGGGCTCCATCACGCGTAATGGTGACTTGGGAAGACAAACGCCATCGCTCCCAACGTCCCCCCCTTCCTTCTTCTTCCCCCAGCTCTATGTGCTGAGCATGGTGCCGTACGGTGTGGGATGTCCCTTTGGTCAGTTGGGATCAGCTGTCCCAGCTGTGTCCCCTCCCAACTTCTTGTGCACCCCCAGCCTGCTCGCTGGTGGGGTGGGGTGAGGAGCAGAAAAGGCCTTGGCTCTGTGTAAGCCCTGCTCAGCAGTAACGAAAACATCCTGTGTTATCAACACTGTTTCCAGCACAAAGCCAAAACAGAGCCCTGCACTAGCTACTGTGAAGAAAATTAACTTCATGTGCAAAAATTCAAATTTTCTAGAAATCTGCTCTATAAATGATTGTTGTCGACAGGAAACGCTGAGGACCATCACGGGTCTTGCTAAGAATCCACAAGCTTGAATAAAACTAGTAGCAAAATTTGCTTCACACTTAGGGGCATTGTAACTTCTTGTACTGATGCAATGAGTTTTACTAAATGCACCTGTGCTCTGTGCAAGACTTATCGAAACTAATTTTATCTGTCAAGCAAATGTAGGAGACATTTGAAGACAACAGGAGGTTGCCTTCAAAAAGTCGTCATTTGAACTAACAGAAAGACCAAATTCAGGTTTGCAAGAGAATACTTTCGTCCCCACCACCCCCAGATGAAACTCTGTAGATATAAAAATATCTGGGCACTGATTTTGCCTGCCTAAATTCTACTTAGAGCTTTGTGCCTACTGTTTCGTTTTCCATCAAATATCTTTGGATTCCTGGAAGCCTGTGAGGGAGAAGCAGCAGGGATAGGGAGCGGTTTGGCCACGCAGCGAGAGGTGGTATTGCTGTAGGACATGGAAGCGTCCACCTGACATGGAGAGCATCCCTTTCCATAGCCGAGGGATTCGCAGTCCAGGTGTCGATTCACAGATTTTTTTAAAGAGGTTATCGAAGGACACAGTCAGAGGTGAAACTTCATTTTGGAAAAAAAAAACTTGGAGCATTTGGTGAAAAGTTTAACTTTTTTAATTTAGTAGAATTTTGGTTAGACTAGGGCGTTTTTAATGGGAGTCATCTCAAGGCATGCACTATCAATTTATTTATAGAAATCCTTACAGTATCTATAAATGAGAAAGACGAGAGTGACGGCTTATTATTTGGAGGCTGGAGATCTGGAATCAGAAGTCGCAATCTGGATCCTCTACTAAGTCATTTGCATTTGGGGTTGTGGCGAAGGAGGAGAGCGATTCTCCTGCCTTGCCTTGAAGTCCGGGTGGAAGTGGGTGACAGTGCTGCAGTTGGGTGGGAGTTGCACCATGCCAGGAGCAAGCTACGTGCTCCCAGCAGCGCTTTCTGGATTCATAGAAAACCCATTCCCTCGTTTTCATCTCGGTATTCAAAAAGTTTATTTTAAGTGGCCAGTTCCTGGTCGTCGTCTTTCCACTTGGATCCAGGTCTTTCCTCTCTCTCAGCCATCTCTCCATCTGCATGTTTTAACTCCCCCAGCTGCCTCTTTCGTCTCTTGTGCCATTTTTTTCAGCTCTCTTGGCTTCTCTCGTCTCTTTGCCTGCTGTGTATTTTAACTCCCAGGGCCGCCTTCTCTGCTCTCCAAGTAATTCAATGTTACCTCCCACTGCTGAGCTCCGCAGCGCGCCATTCTTTCCCCATGTTTCATGCATTTCCTGCTGCTTGGACGCTCTGTTGAAGCAGTTAACATATAGAATCAATGTTTATTTTGAGACTACATATGCCATGCGGGGAACACGGTGTCAGTTATTTTGTGCAGATGTATTCTCATTTAAGTTTTATAAATAATATCGACGTTGGCAACTTTAATACGGAAAAATATTGGTTTCACATTGTCTATGAGACAAAGACGATTCATGTATGGGATGTCGCTGACTTTGGACCAGACAGTGAAAACTTCATTAGTACCTCCATGTCACAGAGTTGTGGGGACAACTGCATCTACTGCATGAAGTTGGACTTCTCATCCCTCAGATGTTTCCCTCTATTCAGATGCTTCTGTGAATCCTTTTGTCTGGTAGTTATGATGAAATTTGGGGAATGGTGCAGGTTTCTCCCAGCCATCATCCAAGACTTCTTCAGTAGTCGTTGTCCAGCTTCCAATTCCTTGCAGAGTTGAAGCCCATCACGCAGCTGGTCTACAT